AATCATATTTGCTACAGAAAGAGATCGTCGAATAATTAAGAAAAATTTTTTAATTGTATAATATTAGAAACATAAATACTTATAAAAATGCGTAATTATTCATAAATTATAATGTAGAAATATTCCATAAAGTTTTATACATTCAGCATAATTAATTTAAAATTGTAAAGTCAAATGGCTTTCAGAATGCATATTAATCGATTTTTCAGAAATATTCGTCGAACGTTTGAAAATAATCGAATAACATGTTCTTATTTGTTTTTTTTAATATGTTATCAACGTCACATTAATTATATTTTCAAAAGGAAATGAATTATCAAATATTTACATCTCAAATTGGATTTGTCTCTTTTTTGATAAATATTATTTAGAAATTTTGACAAAACCATAGCATTATGACGAATCCTCTTAGTACAATTATTGAAAAATTGTCATTAATTCATAATGTCATTATTGTGCTATATTTTCATAATTCACTTATCAAAATAAATAGCACAAAATATTCTATGAATGTTCTCATAAAATACAAATATCCTTAAGTTTGGAGTATTTGAATTGAATGTGAATTCTGTAAATGTATATAGAACATTAAAAATTTATGTAGTCTTACAAAAAAAACATTAACAATTAAAACAATTATATAAGATTCTAACGAATATAAATTCAAATAGTAAATAAACAAGTGTTCAAATCTCTGGGAGTCTTTTGTTAAACAATGTTAATAGAGATAATCATATGTTGCAACCATAATTTAATACTGTTATGTCCTCAATATTACATACAGATTAAATATTAAATTATCGATAAGATTTTTTTCTAAACAAAAAATGTCAATTTATCATCTTTATAACTTGAATGAAAACATTCTTATTATACATAGTAAGTTCCTCTTTATACAGTTGATTGTCAACTTGGTGCAAAATTAATCATTTAGTGATTGAGTCTCTCAGAACATTATTTGAATATTGATTCAAACTTGAAATTGTAATTCAAACAGTAAACGAAACAGTGTGATATGAAGATAAGCGATACATAATATAAATTATGTAAAAGAAAACAAAAGCTAGTTATTTCTACAATGAATATAATTTATGTTGGAATCCTTTTTCAATTATTCACTTAAACAATTGAGTTCTAGGACATCATTTCGGACAATTCATTCGAATTTAATCAAGTTCAAACTTTCGTACTTTGGACTTTTCGGTCCAAAGTACAAAAGTGCAGCATGAAATCACATAATATATGTTTGTATATCTGTCTTCATGTTTTAAGATAAACATAGTAAAACATTCCTCAAAATAACATAACTTTCGGTTGCCGGTGCCAGTCGTCAACCCAAAGTTAGCGCTATTCGACCTTATCGCCAGTTAGTTCTCTCTCTCTCCGATCACGAGAACAAAGGTCGAATTCACACCTATCGGTATCTTGCCAGACCGGTCTGACACATCCATCTATATTCAGTATCAGGAAGAAAATTGAATCAGTTACTCTGATTCTCTTTCGTAACTTCACGATGCTCCCTAACGAATAATTCGCGTCTTGGAGCCGATATAAATCATTCGCCATTGCCATTCGCAATCTCGAACGTCCGTTTACTTCGGATTGTTGCCCGATTGTTGTTCAACCTTCCTACTTTTGTAGGTACTCTTTCTCTCTCGCGTTTTACGTGACTCCTAAATGACATTTTGGCGTGGACGTCGATTCAGAAGAACGCAATTATCTCGTGGCTCGAGTAAAACTTGCCCGAGATTGCGTTGATCGAAACTCCTTTCGACTCCTTTCCACCGCAGAGTGGACACGTAATCACCTGTGCATTTGAAAGCGGAACTCGCGTTGGCGCGGGAGCAGCGCGCCAGGACGCCGAACAGCCTGCAGGTTGCCATAATTTCGATCGATCAGGTCGGACGGGCACTCACTCTCATCGAGAGAAACGAAAATCCCAGAAAATCCACGAGTCACGCACGGCACCGCGTGCGACGACACTCTATCGTGTTTAGTCGTGTTGTGCTTTATCGCCTTATCTGCGAACGCTGTCGTCGCTGTCGCTTGTGGTAATGTACGTACACTACAGTGTGACTTTGAGAGTGGGGAGAGCAAGAGGAGGGGGAACGTTCGAGATAGAATCGATTGATAAGCGAGGAATCGCGACCCTTGTAATTTTAATCCTGTTGTCATGCCTATTTGAAAATTATCCGGGTTATCTTCATTCAATTTTCTCAATGTTTTAGCCGTAATTTGAATGTTTCTTTGTATTTCTCCTAAAAGTTCTCTATAACATTTTATACCCCCAAAAGATCTCTCAATCTCTGGCGACAGTGATTCTGCGTTTCGATTAAGTGCAATTGATTATGCTGTATAATGTTTTCTTCGACTCTGCGAACAGAATAATAAATTCAAGTTGTTCTCTTTTAAATAAAGTAAAAAATTCTTTTTATATATTTTAGAAATAATGATGAGAGATTTTTACAACGCGAAAAAAAGAATATTAAATTTTACATAAACATTTGTTTGAATTCTTCTAAGTAAATTTATTAATTAATTTTAATGAAAAGAAAGAAACCTTTTTAAACTGATTCTTTCATCGATAATATAATCGATCGAATATCTTGATATTCTTGAACGCACGTTTATATCCTCATGCAAATGCATGAATTATTCGGCTCACGCGGACTTTGTTCCTGAGTTATTAATTGACCAACGTCATTTATATAGCTTGTATTAATATAAATATCGAATTAATATAGTTTTCGTTTTATAATATTTGCAAATAAATGCTATAACAGTGTAATTGGCATAATGATAATTATAAATTGTATAATTGCACTATATAGAATGTATTTAACTGATTTATTTAACTTGAATTGATTTAATTGTTACTCCTTGATCTAATTTGAATATTTGTTGTATATATCATATGTGTTCCCTATTATGTAAGAGCTATGAATATCATTAAGGTCAGCCTTCTGCGAAGATATTTAGGTAACTGACGCTAAGAATTAGCTGCAATGTGAAATCGAAATGCATAATATGTATATTTAACACTTTATTGTTATTAAATTATATTTAATTGTTTTGAAAAGTTTAAAATATAATATAATATAATATAATATATATATACATATACAATATAATATGATATATAATAATATTATATTATAATATTATATAGAAAATTAAATAAAATATTATTAGAAAAATCACTAAAATAATAATTAAAAATTAATTATTAATTATTATGTTATAGATAAAAAAAATTGTATGGAAATGAGAAAAATATGCAATTTGCGATGTGCAATTGATACTATTTTTAAATAAAATTGTTTTCTATTATCAAATATATTTATCTCATTATTCTGTGCGCTGTATAATGAGAGTTTATTTATAACTATACTTTTTTATCTGATTAGATTTTCTTGATAGATTATATTTATGTTTTCAAGTATTTAAATTTTTATCTAATTCTCATATCTAAAAAATTCTTAAATCGTAATTCTTATAGAATTTTAATTAGTTCCATCTTTTAATTGATTATATTTTCTAATATTCGTTCAATTAAAAAAAAAATTAAATTTTTACAATGTCGTTAAATTGTATTTTTTAAATGTACTTACCAACATAAAACTTGTCGACTGTCAGTAATCATTTTTGCCGAAATAAATTTCGAAAAGTATCTATAACTGATACTGACGATATCGATCACTCACGATTATCGACTGTATTGCTGCGATCTCCATTCAGTAGCGAGTTTCGTTATCGAATCGCCCATCTATATACCTGTATATACAGTTATAAGCGTAAACAGCGATTCTGTGAATCACATGATAGCTCATCGCAAGCTATCGCAAGCTCATTGCGATTACCCAACATCAAAGGTTTGTTTTCTGTTCCTGCACGAGAATTGCACTAGAATTGAACTGAATTGAACTAGTGCAATCCAGAACTGACGAGTGTAAGCATGCAGGCAAGGAAAACCGTTTTAGTGCAAGATAAAAATGGCGTCCCATATTGTTTACATGGAAGTGTTAGATTCGTGTGATGAAAATGAATGCATTCTATTAAAAAAAATTCTTAATATAAAAAATTCTTAAAGATAATGATGACACAAAATGTTTTTATATGTAGGCTTGCTATTATTTATATATATTTATTATCTTATTACTTATAAATTCTCGGATTATTATTTAGAAAACGCCTTCACCTTCAATTTTAATAAAATTATGCTCATTTGTCGCATTTTTGCATGAAACGAAAGAATCTAGCAGTAAAATGTCATGCCTAAGCCCGCAAACCGAGATATTAAGCGTTAAAATTGACGACATTGTGGTTAGGAAACCTGTCACACCGACTTAATGCAGTGCTACGTACACGTATTTTAGTCTGTATTTATTTAGAATCATTATTTCATCTCCGATTTTAATGAAATTAGGCTTATTCGTTGCATTTTTATTCAAAACGAAAACCTGTTCTGTTCTTGCTATGTGCGAAAAGTTGTAAACCTCTAAACGATGAAAGGAAGACGATTTGAATCTTAATAAACAAACGTTAATATATCTAGCTGTAGAAGCAAATTAATAAAAAACCTATGTACATGTAGCCATAAAGCATGAAAATGTGATCGCAGCACATGCTTTCATCGCGATATTTCGCAGCTGACAGATTTCCTAACTTCAATAGTCATCAATTTCAACGCTTATTATCTCGGTTCGCGGAACTAGGCGTAACATTTTACTGCCAGATTCTTTCGTTTCATGCAAAAACGCGCCGAATGAGCATAATTTCACTGAAATTGAAGGTGAAGAGTATCTTCTAAATAATTACCAATTCTCGTACTATTTATACAAGGTCTGTTTTCTGTGGTCTGTTTTCTGTGGCTGAGCTAGTGTTTCATTTTTAGAACTTCAAGTGAGATAGATACATGTTGATATCTGTCGAAAGCGAGAAAGAGAGTGGTCTGTTTTCTGTTCCTGCACTAGACTGTTTTAGAACTCTCTTTCTCGCTTTAAACAAATATCAAACGTATATCTATCTCATTTTAAGTTTCAAAAGTGTACACTAGTTTAGTCGCAGAAAACCATGTAGTACAGCCAATACAGTGAACTCATGCATTGAGTTCTGTTGCACTGGAACAAAAAACAAGTCGCTGACTTTGGGAACAGAAAATGTTTTAGTGTACACTTTTTAAACTAGGAACAAGTAAAACTAGAAAACAAATCTCAAGTTACATATACGAGTGTAAGCCATTGCAAGCGAGAGTTACCCGCTCATTGCTGGGTTATCGCGTCACGCGTGTTGTCGATTATGGCAGGCAGTTATCGCGTAAAAGTGCGTAATCCGCGTTCGGTTATTAATAAATGACGGTGAACTCTGGTAGAAGTTGTGACAGCAACTTTTGCTCCTCATTTAAGCGTGAATGTCTACTTGAATCGGCGTAATAATTCTGCTCCTGTTTATTTATACTTGCACAATCAAGATGAATTAATTTATTTATAAAAAGTCTTGTGTATCTTTGACAGAGAAAATAAACATGAGCAAGGATCATCTTACATCGAAGGCTGTATCACTTTTGTGGTAAAGCTTGTCCTTACCTTTTTGTCATAGTCAATTACGAGGTAAGCAGAGAATTTAAGATAGATTGTATTTATAAATGAAAAGTACTGATGGTTTTGTTGCCGGCAGGCATGTCTGAGAATACTCACAACAAGGAACAATGGCAGCTTCTTCACAGTCTTCGATCTACTGTAGAGGGTCTGCTGATCGATGGGATGTCCAATGTGTGGAATGTTTATGGTGGTCTGAATCGGCTGCACAGTGTAATGGAACAGATATTCAAGCATGGCTGTCGCATATTTGATCCTAATGTTAGTTGAGTTTCTCGCTCCCAAAGTTTTTTTTATTGAAGATATCTCTGAATTTCTAATTATTATGATGTATAATAATATGTTACACTTATACTGTGGACTACAAAAAACTTTTTTCAAAATTTACTGGAACCAAAGTAGGTGTTTCTTATAGATTTTGGGTTATTGAATCCGAATTCGTAAATCATTTTGCTTTATTACATCTGATTTTTTTAAATAATCGAGAAAAACAATGGAAAATTGTAGAGAGCCAAATTGTTATACATGCTAAAAAATTTAGGATGCTTATATAATGAATTATAAAATTTGTCTGCATTCTTATATATTGACTTTCTTTATATATTGACTTTTTATATATTAACATATAGACACGTAGCTATCTGGACATTATCACAACTAATGAGTCTCTTGATAAAGGAGAGAGCTCTATTATTCGAACCATTTGGTTATCGGGATGCCTTATCCCTTGACATGTTCACATAAACAGAATTCTACTATATGTGAAAATATTTTTCATATGAATATACAAATCTTACATTGTGAACAAATTTTATAAGGGTGAACCGGATTGTTGGATATTCATTCAAGGATTGAATTGGCTTCAACCATCTTTAGCAACCTCACCAATATTGTCAGAAAATGAGGATTATTTATGCAATTTACCAGCTAGGATAACATCCAAGAAGGATATGTTGTGGCTGTACAAAAGGTACTTTTCTCTTTATTAAATATATAATAAATTATATATATATAATTGAATACTAATTTACAGTTTAGAGGGTCATTCCTTATCACATAAATTATCGTGGCTGCTATCAGATAAGGAACATTTGCTTTCTTGTTTGGAACCATGGGCATTCCTTTGCCAAGAGAATTTGGCAGAGGCAACGCTTTTGTATCTAAGAGCAGTTGAGAGAAATCAACCTGTATTGCTCGCAGAAATCGATCCTTGCTTAGTAAGTACCATTTTAAAGTTATTTTCTTATTTTGTGCAATGCACATTTCGTAAATGCAGTATAGTTATTTTATACTAATTTTCATTTGATTAATCTCTTTGCATTAAAATGCAAATTTAAAAAAATTTAAATTTTAAACAATATTAAGTAAAAATGAACTGACGAGATTAAATGAATGAAAAATGTCATATTTGATCAAGGCGCTTTCCGTGCTAATAATATTTGAATTTATAAATTTGAATTTATAAAATTTCCAGTTCAAGCTAATTGTGTACCGATAATTAGCATTTTTACACACACATGAGATTTTAAAAAACTGAAATAAAAATTCTTAGGATTTTGGAATTCAAACATTTACAATTTAAACATTTACATTCAAATATTTATTTAAATATATGACGATACATTATGGGTTTTATTAGATAATTTTTTTCATTTTTATATTTTAATTTGCAGTTTTTACCAACATGGATATCTCCTAAAACGAGCCCCAGGCGACATCGTCGCTCATCCTCATATCCGGTAAATTTTTCTGGCGTCAATCACATTTTCGCGCGAGATAAGAGCATGAGTGTTCTCAGCAGATGTCAATTGGACAAACTAAATATTTCACAGTCTGTTTTATGCGACACGGACAGCGCTGAAAATCAAATATCAAAATCCATACAAGCTATTACTGACAATGATGCACAAAGAGATTCCAAGGTCGATGATGCACCTCTGAAAACGTGGAACAGTTTGCCCGCTTTGGCCAAGAGCCACAGTGGCGCAATTATAGAAAGTTCAGCCCCAAACTCGCCGACAATTCAAGAAAGTAGCAATAGCAACAATAGCAATAATCGAACTCGTACCATTGAATTGGCAGAGATCATCAATGTCAATTATTCGGATTCGAAACAGCCTGTTGATTCCAATATAGACAAACTAGCGAAACCGAAAACCCCTATCAGGAAAATGAGGAATCGAACGAAAGCTAAACATAGTCAAAGTAAAAAGGCTTCCGAAAAGTCGGAGGTTTCTTCAAGTGTACACGAAAAGGTCAGGGACATGGTTGAGGAGTCGCGGCCAATCACAATCACAGAATCGGTGGATACGAAGATGCTGCACCAATGGACGACACGCAAGAAGACGTCCTTCTTGGTAGGTTCAGCACCCGAGTTTACGGGTTCCTGGAGCTTGGAAATAGAAGGTCAGAAAGACATTCGTACGCCGCGGAAAAGTTTTATGGAGGACGGCGGTAGTAGTGTGCAGCCAATGGCGACCGGTTATTTCCCACGTCCAGCTGAAGGTCAGAGTTTGACTAGCTTCCTGTCTTCGGCACGATTTTCACGCGCTCATGACGCCGAATTGGACCGCGAAAACGCGCATTTTAGCGTTTGCGAGGCGATGATTGCCGCCATCGAGCAAGTCAAGTGCAACCGATTGCAGCGGCGTTTGCTGGATGACGTAGCCGACGATGAGAGCGACGAGGAGATCAACCGGCTGAAACAACGAATTCGATTGCGACGTCGGCAGCGCCAGGAAGAGAAGTGCCGAGGTAGACGTTGGAGTCGCGGTGATTTGCTGAGCGATGGCAGGACCGACACGACCACGACCACTGATCAGAGCGTCAGTCCGTTGTCCACGTCTTCGAGTAACTCCTCGGATAGCGTGCCCACGGAGGACTCCGAATTGGACGACGAGCAGAGGTTGAAGAACGGCGGTACGTCTGCGTCAACCGCGTCATTGTTCTCGGACGCAGAATCACGTGCGGCAAGATTTACGGATTCCAATGTGAACGAGAGTAGCGTGTCCGCTGAGGGGGTAGCTCTATCTCTTATTAGTCGCTTCAGTGAGAAGCAGCTGCCAAGGGCGAGTGAGCTGCAATGGTTGGTTTCGGAGAAGGATGCACCACAACGCTTATTGCCAATGCCGAAGAGCTGGCCGGTTAGTCCTGACGAGATTGAGATTGAAGATGCGCGGACTATCCCGCTGAGGGGGACAATCGAATGGGCTCCGCCGCGCCCGCAGATTATTTTCACGCCTCATCCACCACCGGTGTAAGTGCAAAGAGAAAAAAATAGCATAGTAATTATATATTTTTTTTTTTAGTGTCATGCTTTAATACCTTTTTATTCTTATTCTTAGACATCCCATCACTAACAATGAGAATATTGTTGCATCATTATAAATATCAATATTTTTGCAAATAATATCTTTAAAGCGTTTTATAAACAATAATGTCGACATTGGATTTCATTGCGTAGATATTTACTCGTCTTTCTTTTACTATGTAAATATTTATTCTTCCTCCTCCATAGGAACTTCACCTGACAATTTTTCTTAGTCAGTGCTTTGATTATTTTTCTTTTAGAAGACGGATGCTAATAGCCAAGCAGAATTATAGATGTGCGGGTTGCGGTATGAAGGTTGCTGTGAAATATGCCAATCGATTTCGGTACTGCGAGTATCTGGGTCGATACTTTTGTACGGGGTGTCATACAAATCAAGTGGCATTTATACCAGGAAAAATTCTATCGAAATGGGATTTCAACCGGTAGGATTTCTTTAAAAATGGTTCGGCAAAGATAAATAAAATATTTTGATCTTTCTTTAATGTCTCTTGATGCTTGGCAGATATCCCGTATCGAATTTCTCATATCGATTACTGGATCAAATGATGTCGGATCCGTTGTTCCAAGTGAACGACTTAAATCCATTACTATATAGACGAATAAAGCAATTAGACAAAACGAGACTTTTGCGCACAAAGTTATTTTTTTTGAAGGATTTCTTATTCGCGTGCCGATTCGCGACCAGGTAAATCTCAATCTTTTTTGCAAAATATGAAATAAACATGACAGTTTGATGATCCGTTTTTATGATGTTATAGCCTTCAAGATGTGCTGAAGAAGGAATCAAATTACATCATAAACGATCCACATGTGTACTCGATTCAAGATTTAATAAACGTCAAGCTCGGTGTGCTGTTCGTCAGACTGCAGGAGCTCGTTCAAATTTGTTGCGCTCATATTGTAGATTGCGAGGTATCGCGATTAATTGATTGAATAATCTTCAACTTAACTCAGGATTTAATTCTTCAAATAACTACATAAATATTGCAAAAAAGCTTATCGGATTCTTTTAAATTTTACTTAATATTTTTAACAGCAGAATACGTGCGTTACATTCAATAAGTTGAATAAGATTTTGAATTTTTTTTAAAGATTTTGAAGTTCTTTTTATTCTACATCGACCGTTCATCTTTAGATATCGAATATTTTAATTGCTGTATTTTCTTTCAGTTGTGCCAAGCTAGAGGATTCGTCTGTGAACTATGTTGTTCTAAGGACGTGATATTTCCGTGGGATCTATCAAAAGTAATACGATGTGAAAAATGTGGCGCTTGCTTTCACATCGATTGCAAACACGGTTCTGACAAGGTCGAGTGTCCTCGATGCGTGAGACTGCATGCCAGACGAATTTCAAGGGATGAGAAGCCCTGACGAATGACGAGGGCGTACTTTGTCGCGCTATTCGGAATAGAATATGTATATTAAGCACGATAAGCCATTCGAGTTGATTCGAGTCCAGAAGATATCTTATAAGACTTATTTCGGATAATAAAACATCCTAAGAGACATTTAAGTTTTATAAGTATTTTTTGGACTTTTGATTATTTGGGATATTAGTAATTTATAAAATATATTAACATCAACATACTCAAGACATTAATTAAAATTTCTTGAATACCTCAAGTGCAGTATTTGGACGATTTTTTAGATATTAATATAAAAGTCAATTCATTCGATATAATTATAACTTCTGACATATTCGACGTAGGCCGCAAAACTAGTTAAAGATGGATGTTAAATTATAAATTAAATTAGGTAAAAACGTATAATAGGAGTAGAGTTCCATAGTAAAAGTTCAGATTTTCTTTTGTTCTCTATTCTCTACTTATGCAACTAAAAATACTACTTGTGCCTCAGTCTCGAGAAAAGAATATTGAATGTGTGAACGAGACGTACATTAGCGAAGACTGAAGCGTTGTGATATATACGTGTTGGATTTTGATTTTCTTTGGAATAAGCTGCATAATGCAGACATCTACAGACATTTTTAGACATCCCTGAATATATTATTCAGAGACATCAATTTATGAAAAATCTTAAAAGATATCGGGTGATTTATTGAAAAATATAAACATAATTTATCAAGCAAATTAAAAAGATACACTATACTTTACAAACTGTTACAGAGAAAGTAAACTTTTTAAAAAGTAATATACTAAAATTATATAAAAGAGAGAGAGAGAGAGAGAGAGAGAGAGAGAGAGAGAGAGAGAGAGAGAAATATATATAATAATTTTGTTCAAATAGTTTATTGGATTGTCTGAGAAATTCGTATGAGTTTTTAATTCAAATGAAACAATTTTATAATATTGAATGAAAATTTTATTCAAGAAAATATTTTGTTTTGCACTACTTTAACCTATATTAGGCAACTGTAGGATTCGGTCTTGGAAGAGTTTGATTTGAAAGCAAAGAAGTCATTGACACAATTTTTTACTGTTTGCAAACGCATGCAATTTTCTTCAGATAATCAAGAATTGTTTTGGTAAAACATAACACTCGTTTTATTCATCAGTTATGGTTGCTTGTGTTTCGATTTAAATTGTTCAATTGGCTAATATATATCGGTAATTTGGAAGCAGTTCAGTCTTTACTTTTGCCCTTTGCGTCTTTAAAGTAAAAATTACTCACTTCAAATCTTGTAAATTATTTCTGAACATAAAGGAATATATAGCATAATTTCCATAGATTTTGTAAGTTTTTTCCGTTGTTTGCAATAGTAGAAAAATGCACATATCGAAAATGTACCTTTCATCCTCCGTCTTCACAACTTATTACCAGCTTAGTAACACGTACAACTGATTCTCAATCAAACTTCAAAAATAACCATTTTCGAAGAATGAAGAATGTCTAGTTGGTGCTAATATATAAAAGATATAATCTCAGAAAGATTATTTATTAAATTATATGTTAAAATGTTACTTTTTATGATATATATTAAGTCATTTAAAAAGTATCCGCGGTTTTTTGTTCAATTTTTGAATGAAAAAACCGCGGATACTTTTTAAATGACCCAATAAATGTCATCTACTTTCAATCACTTTAACAACTTATGCAACGCTTTATAAAGACATTTGTTGAAACTCATACGAATTTTCCAAAACTTAATTTATACATTCGTGTAGTTGTTCTTTTTAGATTCTGATAGATTTAGAGAGATTTCAATATTTATTCGAGAGCATAGCGAGTATAAACAAAAAGTATTATTTTCTTGCAATTACTTTGTAAATGGCAATAAGCTTCTTAAGTCAATAGTAATTTTAAAGTTGCAGATATTATCGATTAATACAAATAATATATATAAAGTTTTTATGTAAAAACTAAATAGTAGTAATAATAAGTACCTGATTTTTACTGAATTTAAAGTATATTTGTTTATTTATGAAAAGCTTTAAAAAGCGCGCAATGTATAACAGTAAATAATTTTCAGAAAGAAATTTTGACATTTCTATTACATTCTCTATCGCGATATAGTTCTATTATAATTCTTGATATAACTATTATTAACAAAACATTTATAAAGAAATGTAAAACATGTAAATAAAGTCATGAAATTCAAATTATGATTTATAGAAAAAAGTTACAATTTACTTTTAGAATAGAGATTGATTGCAAATATCGATCTCTAAAGTGTACAGGGTAGTTTCGATAATCGTCTTATTTGACTAAGAACGAATTGATAATAAAAGATAAAATTCCATTTTCTTGGTAATATTTGTTCTGGTAAAATAATGCATAACGAACTAACAAGTATATTCTTATGATTTTATTAAATTACATCTCATTTATAGTGCACACATTTTATTTCAGCATAATAAACATTAATTTATTGATAGTAAAAAAATATATTATATACACACTGGCTTAATTTAGACCAAAATTATGATCGCGCATGTATTTTTTTTATATATATATATATCTATATTTGTTACATAAATTTATTTTAATTTTGTCCTAATTAATCTTGGGTACAATATATATACAGATGAAAATCTGTGATTGATTATATATGTACAGTATGTAACTTTTACTTAGATATTCGCTTTTTTTGAGGTAACTAGAAAATCTAACGAAAGTTCATTCTGAAGTTGCGCATTACATTATTTTATATTTTTGCTTAAGAATAATCGTATAAATACTGAATAATTACTATTATGTATTTTATACTGGGTAGCCATAAAATTCCTGTTTCATTTTGTATAATTAGCCATTATTGTCAAATGTGCTATACATATCAATATTCACTACCAAATATTTGATATTTTTATCAAGAAATACAAAGGATGTCACACACAGAACTTGATTATGAAAATAATCGAAAATATATATCTATCAGGTAATTAATTATATATGTATATATTCTTAGTTTTCTAAGTATTTTATTTTTTATACTAAAAGATTTTTATATTATTTTTTAATGGTTTTGTATTTCTTCACATTCAAAATATAAATAATATTAATTATACAAACAGATTATATTGTACGAATGTCAAATAAGCATCTCCCCATCGAACGTAAGAATGCGATAGGTTCATTTTAGACGCTAAATATTTAAAATAAAGCGTTCAAATTACGGACTTATTTCATTCTTTACACCGGCCATTCAACTTTACATTAGAGGATTTCGTGGCCACCCTGCATTTGGAAAGAGAAAAATACATGACGCACGCGCATTCGTTTCAATTTTGCGACATTATGAGCGAATGTGTTTGATATCACAGATTTTTTTCGATTTCTATTAATATTTACCTGAAAGTTTTTTCGTTCGGAAAAGAGAACTATGTCACCTCTATTATATAATTTCGAAACGTCAGAACTGCGATTCTTTTCCGAATTTATTACACTTATTGTTTTGGCACACAAGAATATATAAATCTTTAACTTTTTCTCTTTCTTTGATCTTTAAAGTAGCGAATGGTAGGTGTATTATAATAAATTAATGATAAGCTTAAATGAGTATCGATTAATTTTTTTCCCTATGGCGGAAATGAATTTTTTTTTCACTTTTCATTTTTCTGGCTTAAGGAAAAAATTATATAATCGGTACTCTGGTGCCCTTTTAGATTCATCTTGTACAAACCACATTTGGCAATAGAAATGGCTGATATTTGCCACACAAATTTAGTAATTATGAGTTTGATAGAAAAGAGATCTTACTTCGCTAAATATATAAAACAGGAGAGTTTAAATCTAAAACAAATTGCCATAATGTATAAATACACCTAAATTAGATCGCTAGATATCAGACGTAGAATACTCTATCCTTCATTGAATCTTCACATCATCCGATTATCTGCGATAAATATTTCGTTTTCTCATTCATGACTGTAATAGAAATCAGAGTTTCTCATCCAACAACATAAGCTCCATTCAGTCCATGTACAGTCAGGCTTCCACTGCATTTTCCCTATCGATATGAGTTAGTTTTTCTGCGTTCTTCTTCTTGTACTTCAACTTCCAATCATATTTCAATGATTACATTGTCAATATTGAAATGTGTGAAGACTGGAGCGAAAAGACAAGAAAAACTAGCTTGATTCTGACGAGAAAGAAATTTGGAAACCTAACTGTAAATACAACAATGATATATAACAACGCGCCACACTCTTTATATGACGATATCTTCAGTGAGAATTATCATACGGTCATTCGCTTGCGCATAATCATGTTCATATTATCAATCAGCGATTGACAATATAATTTTAAAATATTATCGTGAAAGACATCGAAAAGTGAAAATTAATTACAAGGAGACAGGCTGAAAAGCAACGCATGCGGTCAACTATTCTAAGGAATGAGATGGAGAACAGTATTATATTGTATTTATTCAGTTATTTTTAATAAATGTGCATAAAAAAATTTTGGTGTAATCAATGATTTTCAAACAATCGAAGTTAAAAAAAAAATATATATATATATATATATATATAAATTATGCTAAAAAAAAATATGTATATATATATATATAAATTACGCTAATTAGAACTAATATTTGCAATCTAATGAGAGAGAGAGAGAGAGAGAGAGAGAGAGAGAGAGAAAAGTTTATAAAGACTTTAGAGCAGGCGTAATATTTAATTTGTCAGTTACGATTTCCCCTCTCCATATTTTCACTGAGTGAGATATTGAGAGAACAAAAAATAGATGCTAGAGCAACCAATCACTGAGCAGTGCTTTGGGATCTATTTTTTTCTGTTTTCTCTTTACTTCGCTCAATGAGACATTGGAGAAATCGAAGCGTTTAACTTGCCAGCAAAATATTAAATAGGTCTGATTTAGGGCATGAATGTTGTTACTCGAAGAGTAGTGGTTTTTTGAACATAAAAATTTTGGTGAATGTAAACTCAATTGCTCTAAAATTATGTACGAATTTTAGAAAGTTGTTGTAACAGAAATAAAAGATTTCACTTCTCAGGTCTAACATTGTGTGATTTGTATTTCTTTTCTTGACTTATAAGGCATCTTATTTTTCCGCAGATGATAAAGCTAAGTAAATAATGGTGTCATATATAAAGAAAAATTTCTAATCTATTAGGAACAATTTATTGGATTACAAAACGAGCATGTAAAAAAAAAATAGATTAATATTTATTCTTTTCTTCCCTTTGAATTTTTAAAATGTACATTTTTTCATTCACGAGTCAATTCACCATACGTGCATTACTTTTCAGTCTATTCTCGCGATTGAAAAAAAACCCGATATCACATTTCGGGTTGAGGATTCACTCGCAAGATATAAAAGCGTGGCGCTAAAATAAATATTTAATAAAAAAAGAAAAAGAATTAGTAAAATGACTTATACAAATAGCAAAGACTGTAAAGTGATATAGAGATTACTGCATCATATACATATATATAAATAATAATAATAATAATAATAAAGATGAGTCATACGCTATCAAGTGTACCCGTAAAAAAACTCGGTGAAGTTTCACGATAAAACTTTTTGACATACATTCGAGATTTTTACGTTTCCGCTTTCGTTTCATGCATTATATAATTTAGAGGGTAGCGTCGCTATTCGCGTGCTAATATTACAACACTTAACAAACATTCAAGTTGTCCAACAAATGTTACGACTAGTCTTAATTTCTATTGTCTTAATTGTCATGCTATTAAGATAATTATTTGTCTGTGCTGAATTTGGAGTACTTTCTTTTTTACAGTTAATTACTTCAGTTTCCTTAGAGTGCGGCCATGGGATGCGGAACTGCGGAATATTTGTGATTGATAATGGTTTCATTCTGCCGATTCCGTCGTTTCTTTCCCACAGTTTTAGTTTTTTAGCGGATTCGTGTGGATCTCGCTAACGACGCTAACCTTTAAACGAAGAAAACCTGTCTTCTACAAGAATATATATTTAATCGAAGGCAAATCGATTGAGAGCCATCAGAAACGGAAAGAGCTGTAAATAATATGCAAGACACACATGGGATCGAGCCATAGATCACAAGTCGAACCGTTTAAAACTACGTAGCTATTCGTAGTGCTCCTGTAACTTTTTATTAAATTACAGACTTCTGCCTACAAAGAAATATGGACGTCAATACGGTCAGAAAATGAATGTCAAATAATATACAGAAAGATGGAAATGTAAATAAAAAAAATCGAAATGTATACATAAAAGTTGGCAGATGTCCCTGTATGTATTATATGATTTCTGATCCGCAGGAGTTGTTTCTTTATGTCCCATTAAACGAAACTTGCAAATACGCAATCAATGCGAGCTAATGACAAGAGCTATTCCGATAGATCCAATGAAAGTGATCTACGGGAAGGCTCTTGCGATTTGTCAGCGCTAATTGCGTATTCCACAAATTCCACTTAATGTGACATAGGAAAACACTTAGCGGAGCGGAATCGGCGGAATGATGCCACAACCAATCATAGACGTTTTGCAGTTTCGCATCCCATGGGAGCGCACTCTCACTCTTAATTGTATTTTTTCTATTCATATGTCTAAAGTCTCTTTTAGGGGCAGCTTCGCAACTTCGAAGAAAATCCTAGAATGCAAATAAAATAAAGTAAACATTGATAATTTATGAAAAATATGTTGTATACAAGATGTCCCAGAATATTTGGACAATGCTCGTATGCAGATCAAGTAGAAATCCTTTAGTATATTATAGCTTTCGCAATAGTTAATGAAATATTAATTTCGAAAGATCGCTGAATATTCATCCGGCCTACCGTTTAATGCAAACGCGTGAGATACGATTAAAGCGGGGAATTGTTTTCCTTTGCCACTTGTATATAACTAATTGTCGCTTGTAGTAAACAAGCTCTGTGCGCCTAGTGATCACAGTCTGGGTGTATATCTGGCGATAGGCGGTTTGACTATTAACTATTAAATGGTTTTTAACCATTAAAAACTATTAACTCTCTTAAAACTCCATCAGTGTCAACTGAGCCAGTATTATTTACCATTGTGGATTTTTTACAAGCCAAACTTTTAATCCTTTTATTAATATAATTAAAAATTTCCTAAAAGATAACCGTTATCCTTCAAAATCTCTATTATAAATTCTATATTCTTATTAAGATTTGACAGTAAAATCGTTCTATTAACTAAATTATATATAGTTCCAATCTTATAGCATGTAGAATGATTCGAATAGAACGATAAATACTCGAGAATGTCTTTTTATGATATCAATCTAAAATAATAGTATTACGAAGTCAATAAGTTTTTAGAAAAACATAGTAAAACACATTTTTTCCGATTCATTTTTATTTCTCAACATAGTCTCCTTTCAGCTCGATACACTTGATCCAACGATTCTTTAACTTTTTCAAGTCGTCCGAATAATATGATTTGTCCAACCCTTCAAAATAAGCTTCTGTTTCAGCGATGAGCTGCTCTCTGGTAGTGAATCTCTTTTCTCTGACCATTTCTTCAGATTTGGAAACAGGAAATAGTCGCAGGGGACTAAATCTGGCGAATATGCTGGATGGCGAAGCAATTCGTAGGACGGAATTCGTTGAATTTGGTCATCGGTGCCGGGTACGTGTGAACCCGTGCATTGTCTTGATGGAAGAGCACTTTCTTCTTCGCCAAATGGGGATGTTTTTTTTTTAAAATATTGTTGAAACAGTCCAATAAGACTACGTAGTAATCGCCATTGATCATTTGCTTCGACGGAAGGTAATCAATATGAATTATATCGCGTCCCTGTGGCCATCACCTTTCCGGCCGATTTCACGGTCTTCGCCTTCTTCGGAGCTGGCTCGGTGAAATCCATTATTTTGTTCCTTCGTCTCGGGTGTGAAGTAATAAGTGGATCCATGTCTACAGTAATGTATCGACGCAGAAATTCATCTGGATTACGTTGAAACATCTCCAAACATTGTTTTGAAATCGTCACACGGTCGCGCTTATGGTCCACAATGAGCAAACGCGGCAACCATCTTACCGATAGTTTTTTCATACCCAATTGTTCGTGCAAAATTGAAATCACTATGCCATGTGATATGCCTCAACAAGCTCGCGCACTTTCACTCGTCGATCAGTCAAAACAATATCGTGAACTTTATCGATGATTTCTGGCGTAGCAGCCTCAATTGGACGTCCCGAACGAGATGTATCACATGTAGATGTACAACTATGTTTAAATTCATTCACCCAATTATACAGTCGCAAACGTTGATGCAGATGTGCTATGAACATTATCCAATTCGATTTTGATTTCTTTCGGTGTTAAACCTTTCATATGTAGATGTTTGATCACTGCACGAAACTCGTTTTTTTTCCATTTTGCAAAAAATATAAAGGTTGTTCGCTTTAATCGTCTACAGAAATGAAACTACGCGGTGAATTCCGTTCGTAATTTGATAATTAGCTGAAAGATGCTACTTGTCAAAAAGTATGACATGACACTGCCCTCTGACAGATTTTCTAAGAACTTATTGACTTGCTCTCGTATTTAAAATCTTTTTATCTTATTGTAATCTGACATAATACTTTTTGACGTTTGAATTTTTTATATATTGACACTACACTGATTTTTTTAAATTTTCATTGTATTTATTATTTATTTGGTTTGTTCATTTAATATTGTATTTCTGCGTTTTAATATTGAAGAAGGCTTTGTAAGCTGAAATGTTTGTGTAGAATATTATTTAATATTTATATTCTTATGTTAATTATATTAATTTAAAGTTATTCTAATTATAAGCTCGAAATAATGACATTGTTTAATTTTTTAATAATTGTTAACTATTGCGAAAATTGTAAAATGATACAGGATCTTTTGACTTACTTTAATCTATTCTCTATCTGCACTCGAGTGTTGTCACGAGAGTTACTGGACACCCTATACACACATGCATGCACGCACGCACACACTTAAATTGAAAACCTTGAATGTTTCATTCATTTTTAATGATACAAGAAATGTTTCAAATGAAAATGGAACGGTTTCGAAGAGGATATATTTTGATCACGTTTTTTTCTAGGTGGAAACGCTAGAAAGATATGAAGATTATTTCCACTTTTTTTAAATAGAATTATATAATTTTTAGATAATATGATCTCTAATTATTCTGCACATAATATTATATTAATGTACGCGATTATTAAAAAATTAATTTTAGTATACGATTAAGGATACGACTAAGTAGATATTTAATATTTCATGTCATGCCAGAATAAAGTATAAAATATCTCGTAAATCGTAAACTGTTGGTTATTTGATATCTCTACTTTAATTTTTTTATGCGTAGATTAGTTAAAAACTTCAAATTTTGTAAAAAAAAATCATATAATTCCATTAAAAAAATCTTCATATTTTTGTTTGATATCTACACCTTTAAAAAAAGTGATCAAAATATCTCCCTCAAAACCATTTCTCTTTCATTTAAAACATTTTTTTGTATCATCAAAAATAAGTAAAATATTTAAAGTTTTCAATTTAAGGATCACATTCTATACAAATATATATATATATATATATATATATATATATATAAGGAAATACATAAAAGAAATAAATTAAATATAAATAATACATAAAATCAATACAATTAAATACTTACTTGTGGCTGTATTTGCTGCGGACAGTTTTTAATGTTTCTTTATGCTTCCTATGTAAACTTTGATTCAGAAGATTGCAAATATCTCTTATGTCGTCCAGTTTATAACCGCTATAGTATTCTAATGTTGGATTCCATCCTCCTAGATCTTTCATTAGTAATGCCAATAACAACGCCGCCGCTGCCATTTTGCTATCACTAAATCTGATCATCGTATAATCCATCAATGAGTGTTCCAATATATACCGAGCCAGAGTTAACGTGGGCATGGAGACCTTGGCACACTATTTTCAGATAGTAATGATTGAGTTAATGTATAGATCCTATTCGCATAAGATAATCAGATTTTTTAGAATTAATATTGGAAACTAAATTTTAAAATATTAAAGTAGCTGATCTCCAATAGAAGAATGTAATTGTACTTTTTTTACAGTCTGATGTGATTTGAAAATATACACACATACAGAGTGTTTAGTAAAAACCATAACAACGCTTAAGAGTAGATTCGTGAAATCATTTTGAAAAAAAAAAAACTAATATCAAAATGTCGAGGCTTTAATAGTTTTTCGAATTATAAGTATTTAAAGTTATCGAATCATACTTTCGACATTTTGGTATTAGAATTTTCGTCTCAAAATGATCGAAAATCTACCTAAAGATCAGATGCGCTTTGCAATTCCGAGAAACCGAACATGGAGCTTCCAATTGTTGAATTGTTATTATAACTAACAATATAAGTCAGTCAGGCCTTATGCATTAATTTTATTTAATTCCTATTGATTCGAAAATATATTAGTTTTAAATCTAATTTCGAATAATAAAACCAACCTTTTTCTTTGAAAGAAAATTATTTCATTATTGGAAGAAGTATTATATCGTCTAATATATTCATTTAAATCTTAAGACAAAATATTCCTAAATATAAATCGGTAACTTTGTTGCTGCTTACCCTAGCATAACGCCGAAGAAATCTGTAAGAAAGAGGCACTCCCAGGTCAAAATTGACTACTTTTAAAACATTCATTTCCATTTTTATCAGCTCTCTCTGTGTATAAGCGCCATCACATATATACAAGAAATCTTCCACCATTGGTGGTATTCTTTCCTAAAGTCAAAGTTATAAAGTTTTTATCATGAACTTATTGTTCGTGACAGGAGTACAATTTTGTTAGGCAAAAATTTTGTGGATATATAATTATAAAATTTACATCAAATTTGCTCGCTATGAAAAGACTTGCAGCGCCAAGCAGTTGTAGAGTTTCTTTTCCGACTGTCATTTTTGTCAAATATAAATCGACAAGTTTTACAGCCAGATATAGGGTCTCATGGTTCAACTCAAATGATTCCTGAACTTCAACCATCCAGTCGACTAGTAACGCTCTCATCCATTGCGAGAGACATACTTGTCGGTCCATGTAATCGCTGATGAGGAATAGATGTTCTCGTCCCTTCAGGTATTCAAAAATATCCATTGCATAGTGTGATATCTGGTATGGATCTAGCCAATTTTCAACATCAAAATCCCATTGAACGCCTTCGGGTAATTCTCTTACAGGTATAGCGATCAATAAAGTAGTGGCTGAAATTTCACTCTCATTCGTAGGGGATGTGGGTTCTTTTTCTTCTGCTATTGCTGTTGGTTTGTCGTTGGTTTTTTCATCAACCTATAATATATATTTAATCTATTATTACTGCATAAACAGTATAAAGTCTTCTTCTTCTTCTTCTTCTTATGTTAAACCTCTGGTCTGTGCTACACCTCTCTCATATGCTTGTGGTGGGCACGGTGATTATTCAATTGTCACGAGCATATGGGACCTACAGTTTTAATGCCGATTCCGAACGGCGGATTTTTCGAGAGGTGTTTCTGTGGGCAGTATAAAGTAAAATATTGTATAGTAAAAATATATAAAATATAAATTATTGTTTTTATAAAAATATATGCAATCAATTACTGCACTGATTAACAGTATTATTTCATCATGCTCCAACTGCGTTACACTCTCATTTGCTCGATTTCTCAGGATTTTTAAAAATATAAATAATAAAATGTTAAAAATATATAGTGTAATCCTGTCTTAGTTTAAAAAATTATTTCTTACTCCTTTTTAAAAGTAATTTTATTTTAGAAATTATATAAAAATTTAATAAACAAATTTTATATAATTTCTAAAATAAAATTACTTTAATCTAATTTTCTTTGTAAGTTTTAGTCTGAGTTATCTTAAGTTTTCGTACATAAATGAAATTAAAGAAAAACATGAATTCTAAGATATTATACATAATAATATATTGCAGAAAATTTATATATATATATATATATATATATATACCTTATTATTGCTACTCCTGCGAGTTTTTTTTATGCTATCATTAACGTCTTCCAAAGCACTGACGTATAACGAATTATCCTCAGATTTTTCTAAATCTGCACTTCGTCTAATATTTACAATTTTGTTAATAGTTTCTGTTTTATCATCCTTTTTGAGAATAGACTTAATACGAGGCGCCGGTTTTACTTTCGCCGGTACAACTTTTGATGTAGTAACATCTGCGGGTTTCTCTGAAGCAACATTACTTCCAACTGGTTTGGGCTGAGTAACTACCTTTTTTGTTGGATTATGCCCTACTAGCGACGTAGTAATGGCCTGTCAGATTCATAATATAAAAAAAATAAATACATAAATAATAAAATAAAATAAACATGAATTGAACATTAAAACGATATGATTTAAATAAATTAAAACGGTGATCGGAATTAGATCATTTTTCTCAATTTTCATGTTAATGCCTGCCACTTATTTTTACAATAAGCCATTGGATTTATGTAACTGATATGTGAGGCTCTTTCAAGAATACTACGCATAAATAGGATCGTATCTTCTGTTCGACAACTTGTTATACGAGTAGCAAGAAAGAATTAGTAGACACGAAAATAGTGTCGAAAGTTGCATTTAAATTCCGATTTAAAATCCGATCACTAAATTAAAGTATAAATTTATATTTATATTTTGTTATAAAAATTGATAGAATAATTTGCAGAGTACATACATTGGTGATATTTGTAAAAGCATATCTCTTGTTCGTTTTTTCTTTAGGTGGCGAAAATACATCTGATTTCCGCTTGATGCGAGATTCTTTGCTATTGGATGGTTTTAATACATTGCTCAATAAAGAATTTTGACTCCTGGTTGTTATTCCTTTCCTCAAGGTTGCAGTGCCGTTTTGTCTATTTTGTCCAAGTAATACTTTTGGAGGTGCCATTTTTCAGATATGCTTAAACTTTGGTACTTCGGTTCCTTATCCTTATTATTCATAAAAATACATATAATTAATTCATAAATTATAGTTCAATTCATAGTATACATAATATACATAGGGCATAATGATTCAGAGAGTGAGTTTAAATTCTGACAACACACATGCTAATATTTATTTATTATACCTGGTAATTTTAATTTAATTTACTGTGACTACAGTGCTGTGTTTTTTATATTTACGATATGTGTTACTTTTTTATTCGTTATTATTTCTTATTATATTTTACTATACTATTATTATTAGCCAAAAACATTGTTTTGTTTGTTTACTGATCAGTTGCGTTTTGATGAAATCTCTTAGTCATTCAATACCATCCAGCCATCCAACTAATGATTTTTATATTCTTTAATGGAGGAATGATTAATCGCATTAAAACTTTTTAAAATGTTTATAAAAAGTCATATATGGAATTTTGTATGACATAAATAGCTATATAACGATTTAAAGTAAAAAGTCGATCTAGAAAATTTAAATAAAATTCTATACATATAGTGTACTTGTGATAATGAAATCCAAGAGCCTTTTTCTATTATTTTTAACTCTTCATTTGCATATTTTTACTCCTTCCATCTACAATCTAAGTCTCTTTTGTTTTTCAATACAAGCTTTTTTACTACTCTAGGCTTCCAAAAAAAAGTTGGGACTACTTTTCAACGTGTTTATTACATCATTAAATAATTTCTAACTCAAATGTGAAAACCTTTATTTAATCTGCCCTTCTTTACTTCGGAAAAATTTTTAAATGAAATTTCGCTTATGCTAAAGAATTCACATTGCAGACAAAGTTTATGGTGTTATTATTGAACAATTGTTAGTAAACTTTCTTTATTCAATAACAAAATAACGAAAATTTTAAGTTATTACAAACTCAACAACTAAAAAAATATTTACGATAATTTTGTTACCATTGTTAATGAATAAGTTATTATTTATCAAAAAGAAAATGTTATTTACTAACATTAGTCGTTCGGTATATCATTAAAAATTAAAAACAATAGGGTCTTTAGGCTGTAAGTCTTTTCAATGCTGAAAATCTATAGTACGCGTAATAACATACGTAATAGAATGAAAAAGTACAGTGCTCAATATTAAAAGTACAATTTACAATGTGGTATTGACTAATAAGATGATATTTTGTGCGTTAAAGTTCATACATATTCTTAAGTTAGAGGATGAAATCGAACATTTCAGATACATTTCAAGTCTTCTTTGAACGTTTGTGGAGTAAACTCAAAAATCGATTAGAAACGCATAATTTTAAATAAAATAGTGTTAGAAGAATGGAATAAAATACACTGCGAATAAAATGCCATGAAGAAGCACTGTTAGAAAAGCGAAATAAAATACCATAAAATTTGTTTAACAACTTAGTTTCTTTAATTTTATTCAATGTCAAATAGATTGAAGAAAGTAACTAAATGTAAAGTATTATTAACTAAATGTTATTTCCTTTTTTATAAACTTTCTTCACTATTACAATAAAATGTGCTAATATTTTTATGCCCACAGGTAGAATGTTCTCAGAAAACATTTTTATCTTTTTTTTGTGACATTTGTTTATGTCAATTTATATAATTTGTATTATTAAATATAAAATATAAACTTTCACTCGCGTAATAAGGAATGTATAATATTACTCAGTGCACCACTACTTAAACTCAGACCAAGGAAGGTATCTAGAAACCTTATTGGTAAATTTTTCGATATTAATAGCAGGAGGAAGAATAGATTAAGTTCTTATAAAATGAGATGTAGGAGGAGTAACATCGGAATCGAGCCAAGGATTTGTTAATTATTTTTTTCTCATTGTTTGTTTGGCTCTCGGTCGCATAAATAGAGTCAAATTGGCCAGTAACAAATCCTCATCTAATCTTTAAGTCTTACATACACTTAATTAAACTTGTGTAAATGTGATCAGCGTAGTAAATAATGCTTCTTAATCTAAATCGGGATAAAAAATTAAGTAAAGGGCATATAAGAATCAAAAACAGTAAAACTTTAATAAACACACGATATACTAATATTTATCAATATATTAATATTTATTCTCGATATCATTATTCTAAAAATTTTTGATGGTATAACATATAAAATGTCTTACAACAATAAAAAATATCTCAATTACATTTCGGCTTCTTAATCGAGCCATTTTCAGATTTATTATAATCGCAGTTGCAACAAAGTGTCGCAGTAAAGTGAAACGATAAAAAATCAAATAAAAATAAAAATAAAAGTAAGTTAAGTTAACATCTCCGATGGATTGTATGTTGATCGACGGAAATTGTTCCCAATCAGCTCGACTAACTTAAAATTTTCTAGCTTTTCTATGAAGCTATGAGTAAATATAATCTATGAGTAATATAAAAAAATTGGGAACAATTCAGACTATTTATATATACGTCAATCAAATAAAATCGGAGAAGTCAAAGTATGATAATGTTAAAAATATGTGTGATGGTCAATAACATTCTTAAAAAGTCAATCGCATTAACAAACGAGATGGTCGGACTAACACATGTCAACGTTACAAGAGATTAGCGACGACTAAATAAAGCTTGCAAAATTAAGACAATAATCTGTGATGCAAAGTCATATACTGTTATTGACACCGACGAGATATTATTAAAGATCGTCAACCCTAGGCAAATTTTCGACGGTATAAAAAGAGCCCGGAGGTAATTGAAGAACACTGACATTATCGACAATTGATATAAATTTGCTATTATTAACATAAATATTTGGCTTATGCATTATTAAATTCATGATTTTTTATTATATAAATGTTCCATAAATAAATGTGCATACTTGTAAAACTATAATATCCTATATATTGCAGAAAAATTACAATTTTTTTATCTACAGTTATCATCTCTTGTTGATAATCAAATTTTTACGATAACACTGAAATCACAAATTGTACTTACGAAGTGATTAAGAGTTAAAAACTGATAATATTGTATTAATTTTATGATTTATTAGTTTAATAGATGTATTTATGCATTTAGAACTCAATAATACTCAATTTTTCTTTTTTAAAGAAATAAATCATAAAATTAATACAATATTATCAGTTTTTAACTCTTAATCACTTCGTAAGTACAATTTGTGATTTCAGCGTTATCGTCAAAATTTGATTATCAACAGAGATGATAACTGCAGAAAAAATTGTAATTTTTATATTATCAGTTTTAACTCTTAATCACTTCAATATTCTCAAGGACGTGAATATATATCCCATAAGGATGTCGGTCTTTAATAGTATCTCGTCGGTGTTATTGGTAAGTACAATTTATGAAGACTTATCTAGTATCTGTAATTAATTAAAATTAAAAAACTGAAAAATAGTTTAAATCTACAGACTGATACAAGTCTTCATAAATCGTACTTACCAATAATAAATATATATGACGGTATATGACTTTGCATCACCGGTTATTGTCTTAATTTTGCGAGCCTTTGTTTAGTCGTCGCTAGTCTCTTGTAACGTTAACATGTGTTAATCCGACCATCTCGTTTGTTAATTATGCGATTGACTCTTTTTAAGAATGTTATTGACTATCACTGAACACATGTTTTTAACATTATCGTACTTTGTGACTTCTCTGGTGAATTTTATTTTGATTGACGAGCATATAAATAGTCTGGATTGTTCTCAATTTTTTCATATTACTCATATAGCATTTTCTCTTGGCTGCACTATTGCCCACTAGTGCAACACTCAGACAGTGTATATGTTTCCATGGCTGATGGTAAGCAAACTTATTCGGTGTACCGTGTTTCTATGGCTACACTAGTAGTGCAAATTTTATGCACAAAGTGGGATTTTACTATACCGTCTCAAAGGGATGATGTAGAGTCAGTGTGACATTTAAAATTTGAAAATGGAAATCAAGCGGGAATAGGGTTTTAGCGCAATAATGATGTAGTGTACATCATGGTGTACACCACTCTAGTGCAGTGTAGCTGAGTGTAGCGCTTACACGCAACTGATGCGGTGCGAGGGCTGCACCGAGTGTATCCTAAGAGAAAACGCTAATAGATTCATTTTAACATTCAGTCAAGCAGCCGATTGGGAACAATTTCCGTCGGTCAACGTACAATTTATCGGAGATGGTTAAGTTAACTTACTTTTATTTTTATTTTTACTTAGTTTTTTATTGTTTCACTTTACTGCGGCACTTTGTTGCAACTGCGATTATAATAAATCTGAAGATGGCTCGATTAAGAAGCCGAAACATGTAATCGAGATATTTTATTGTTGTAAGACATTTTATATGTTATACCATCAAAAATTTTTAGAATAATGATATCGAGAATAAGTATTAGTATATTGACATATGTTTATTAAAGTTTTACTGTTTTTGATACTCTTATATGCCCTTTACTTAATATTTTTATCCCGATTTAGATTAAGGCATTATTTACTACACTGAGACATTATTTACTATACTGTCACATTTACACAAGTTTAATTAAGTATATGTAAGACTTAAATTAAGTGAGAATTTATTACTGGCCAATTTGACTCCATTTTTTATTTTGACTCTCGGGACCGAGAGCTAATTAAACAATGAGAAAAAAATATTGGCATATTCCGGGTTCAATTCCGATGTTACTCCTCCTACATCTCATTTTATAAGAACTTAATCTATTCTTCCTCCTGCTATTACTAATATCGAAAAACTTACCAATAAGGTTTCTACTAGATCCTCCTTTGATCTGAATTTAAGTAGTGATGCACTAAGATACCACACATTCCTTATGAGAGTGAAAGCGACATACTCCAGCAACTACAAACAATTGCACATTATAGTTTTTCTGTTCTTGCACGAGGATTGCACTAGAACTGAACTAAATTAGTGCAATCTAGAATTGATATGCAAAATACTTTAAAAGAAATTTTCTGTATGTATTTTTGTTAATGTGAAAACGATTTCGACACTGATAATGAAAGAAAAAAATGGTTACAATGCAATTACCGCAATTTAACTACAATTTATAATCATTTTTTGAGACAATTATATATTTATTGTTATTTTAATGCAAATATAGTTAATTATGCTATTAATGTAGTACATACATTGAATATCTTTAATTTTTTCTTAATGTATAAAAATATATATTTTTTACCATATATATTTTTTATTACTATAGTAGTAAACAAGTTTAAACAAAAATTATATTCATTGCAATTGTATTTACTGAGTAAAAATGTTTATTTATACACACACACACACACACACACACACACACACACACACACACACACACAACTTATATCTTGATATTTTATTAATATTTCATTAAATTATCATAAATTATAGTATTTCTTCATGTTTGATAGAATTATATTATCATGTTATATCATTACTAATAATCATAAAAAAATCGAGTTCCTAATCTTAATTATTTTCATAATTATAATCATGTAATTGTAATCAGAATATCAAGTATTTTTCTCTTAGCAAAAACTAATATAATTCGATTTTATTAAAATAATTAAAAAATTATTATTAATATGCGGGTAACCACCTGGTGATTCTTATACCTCAATTATAAAAAAATTGAAGCTGTTGCAGTTTTTTTACTGATCAAGAGAAATACTTGTTTTTTAAATTTTAAAGAAAATATTGTGCAAAGTTACAATATGATCTCGAATATTCACAAATAGGGCACTCAATAATATATAATATTTAAATAATAATAATAGATTTTAAATAGTGGGTGAAAAAAACAGGTAATAGATTCGTTTATGCAAAGAAAATTAAGACTATTCCTGGGTTAGATATAGTGAGAGAAGTGCAATGAGGTTATGGGAACGTTCTACATTTTTTCAAAGTAGATTCAAGATGCTTTTGATTCAGAACAATCAAAGACTAACGCATATGAACGACATATAGGACTCGGTCGTTCGGATCGATACGAGTTTCTCGTATGAATCGTACTGAAAAACTCGTCGAACTTGTCGCCAAAATAAAGTGGAATTATCCCGCTTTCCGCTGATACAGAAATTTATATGACTCTCTGTGATAAATCCATCGATTTTAGTGATTTTCGATTCTCGAGACGCGGCATGTTGGGACAGAAAACGCGGGAAGTAAAGGGAACGAGCTCCACTCCGTGCCTTCGTTCGGTCGCGAGATCGTTATTTTGTCACCTTCGACGGTTTCAGGAGACGGCTGAAAACAATCGCGATGTCGAAGGCTGGCCCAGGCACGAAAGACGCGAGAAAAATATTTATCCGAAATGTATGAGCAAATATGGTGGAGTCGCGATGGGTGCCTGAGGGTGCTTCTCACCGTTTCCATGCGGATCGCTTGGCATGTACTAGGAACGTGCGAATCGTGTGTACCTACGTGACTCAGGATCCTCGTATATCCGTGCGTGAACGACGAAAGGTCGCTTGTTTCACAAGGTCTTGGCATGCCACGCGTCGTACAGCTGTGCAATGTCGCCGTTTTCTCTCGCGACTCGCTCACGCTGGCTGCGGAGTGCGGTTACCTCGCTGCTGACTGAGTTGATGTTAGTTCAAACTCACAGTTACGGCCAATCGCGGCGCGACGATTGGCCGACATAGAGCGCCCCGGGCCAATCGGCAGCGCCATCTCGGGCGACACCTCGCGGCGACGCTACCATCAAGATTGGATCGCGTCAGCTTTGAAAAATCCTTCAAAGAAAAATCGGAGAGCTTGGATTCATTGGATTATTTATTCCTTCCAAAGTGCCAAGTCTCTCAACTGAGCTCTTTATTTCAGTGAAATATAATAGCTCATTCAAAGATAAATACGTTTTTATTTTATACAAAGGAACGTTTTTAAGATTTCTTTTATCTACTGTTGATATTTTCTTATGGTATTCTTTTTAGACAGCATTTATATTTGTTTTCTCTATAAAACATGAAGTTTTATTATATCAGTGTAAAATTTTTATGTAAACCGAGTTTATTTTTCAAAATATTTGCTTATATTTTGTGGTGTAATTTTAATTCAACTAATTTAAATAAACATTACTATATAAATGCTTTATTCTGCAATTTGTTGGATCAATTTATTCGAGATAAAATATAAATTATCAGTCCGATAAAAAAAAAACAACTCTCATTCTCAGTCGCTGTACAGAGAGTACGGCAGCTATCCGGTGCAAAGTTTATTTGATTTCCTTTACAGAGAAGCACGTCATTAGACTGTATGTTTCATTCGTTCATGACTGTGCGAGCTGTGCCATTTACATCGACATGCAACACGAATGTTTCATTGTGAAATACATTGCGGCGAACAATTGCTTCGCACATCTGTCTGCTATCTGGCTGCGCCGTTTGGAAACTAAGGTTAGCTCTCGTTTTACGTAATCAGCGATCTCTGTCATCAATACCCAACCTCTACCAACCTTTCCGTCGTCAAAACAAGTGTCACGTGACTGCTGTGCGCTCTCCGCTACACTAGCGCTCGTTGCGGGCGTGGCGCGAATCGCGAACTATGTATTTCATAGATAGGAAAACCTATACCGGAATTAAACTACGTATTGAAGATTGAGATTTAAGATTAAAGATTGAAATTTAATCAATGAGGATAAAGAAATTTTTTCCTTTTGTTTTAGTTGGTCTAATTTGATTGCTCTTAATGATCTGTAGTGAAAAATTTCAATACAGTAAGCATCATCTGGATGATATGATAAACTCGACCGTCGATAAAAGCGCAATCTTCAATATAAATTAAAAATAGTTTTTATCATAATGTATTTAAAGATTTACGTTTATATAGAAGTTTTATATATTATTTATTATTATGTTATTAAGTTTACACGAATCTTTTTTGACGATGCAAGTAATATAAAATATGTAAATTATTACAATTTGAATAATAGAATACAGAAAGAAGTAATTAAATAAGTTAATTAAGTTTTATGATTGTAATATTTGATTCTAATAATTGGTATATTTGACTCTAATATTGAAAAATATATAAGCGAAATAGAAATTTTGTAGTCCAGTGTAATGAAAGAAAAACATAGGCTTTGATGTGTACCTGTATAGATTATTTACACACACAAACGATATTACATAAAAACATATAATCATTATTTGGTGTTACATCTATATAAAATTATTTAGATATATATATATATAGTTATTTCTAGATGAAGAAATTGCTTCATTTTTTGTTTTTATCTTATTACTTCCATCTTTATCTCACAATATTAATTGAAAGAAGTTATCTTATTTTTCAAATTATCTTGATGTATAGTTTATAAGCATGTCTTCCTCCGTATAGGATTTTGAAACGTAATTTCCCTTTTAATAAACCAAATTTTTCATCAGTGCTGTCCAGGATTTGTAATTCGAAGCATTGACTTAATGTGTTATTCTCTTTACTTTCTCTTTCATCAATCATTTTAGAAAAGAAAATTTTTTTAATATTGAAGTACTTTTATGTTATAAAAATCTAAATCTAAAGAATTAGATTCTTATCTTTTATCCATGTCAGATTCTCTTCAATTGTCACATACCTTGCTGTCATAAATGAAGTATTTGGATTATATGATATAAGTATATGCCTCCAGAAATCATTTGTTACATAGATGAAGTTATATTTGAAAAATTCTAATTTTTAAGAAATGGAAATTTTTTCAAACATGCCAAATAGCTTTGCGATGAATTAAAAATTTATAAAATACATTATATTTTATATCATTGTTATTTTTAACTATTATAACTATTATACAAAAATAATTAATAATTTATTTGAATTATTAAAATAACAGGTTTTATATGTGTATCAATTTTAATGTTAACTCAGTTGTAAGTTTAATTAATTAGAATATTATTTTATCATTTCAATTTGTAATCATTATAGAAAAAATTTAGAAAGAAACTTAATCTCTTAGAAATTTATAAATTAATGAAATTAACATTTAAATTGATATAAATATTAGTCACGCTTATTCGATACATCCCAGCATAATAATAAATATTAATTATTAAATAACAATTTAAACATAAAATAATAACAGATCTAAAATAAAAAATTCATGCAAACGTCTTTTTCTTCTCAGATTTCTACAAACGGTTATAATGAATTATAATTATTGCAGTTACGAGTGACAATGATCGACGAGTGAATGTATTGTACAAGAAGTATTAGGCCGCTATTTCTTTTAACTTTAAAATTTTTCAAGCTTGTTGATTGGCTGTAGGATAGAGAGATTCGAAGATCTCTGTTTTGCACATATTTGTCGTACGACAAAAACGTAAATGAAATAATACATTATGCCCGTGTCATACTGTGCATTGGAGACTGAGGATTGCGAATTGAGGATTAGAATTCAATTAGAACGAAACGGATTAAAATTAAAACTATCTGATTGGTCGAATTCTAATCTTTAATTCGCAATCCTTAATCTCCAATGCGTAGTGTGATACGGGCATTAGGCTGTTTTTCGCCCTATGTAAACTGCAACATTTACAAATCGTTGGCACTCTAATAATGGGTTTGAAACGCATAGTTTCTGATTGTACAAGAAATTTCGAAATAATAATAAAATGAATAATTAAAATTAATTTAATAATAATTCATAATAATTCATAATAATAGACGAAATTCTTTGGATTTTTAGAAAATATTATACAGCGACGATTTGATTACAGGAAAATGCGATCGAAATATCACATAACGGAAAAAAATACTATCTTTCTTGCATCGCTCGCGTTAATAATGATGAAACATTATGTATCGGGGCAACATTCGCGAGAAGTTTGAACATCCAAGAGGGAGATGAAGTACTCGTGTCCTCTGTGAAAAGTATTCCCTCGTTAAGCAGCGTTCAGATTGCTCCTCGCACGACAAGCGATCGCGAGCTTTTGGTATGATAATTCTTACAGATTGACTTACTATGCTAATGATGAATGAATTAATCGATTGTCCGTATTCGGTAACAGGAATTACAAATGGAAAGAGTACAATCGAGTCTCTTGAACCAAGTGAGAATCGTCGCGAAAGGACAGCCGCTCGTGGCGTGGATCTCAAAGTTTTCCTCCGTGGCTTTCATTGCGGGCAAGTCACTTATTTTTCGTAATATATTTGAGTATATAACATTATAGAAATAGCGCTATTATTTTCGATTACGTAAATATTGAATTGATCTGTTTGTACCATGTCCGTTTTAATATTATCATATTTTAGAAAGTTATTGATTTATGCAAAGGAAGTAGTCGAAGTAACTGATGGAGTCATTTGTTCGTTATTAAAATATTAACATATAGGGATATATATTAATATATCAATAATATCAAATGATTTCATTAAATTCTTCAGAGTTGAGAGAATATAAAAATATATCTAAATATATTTTTAATATTTTAATGCAAAGGATATTAAGAAGATATTCTGTACGTGATCCTTGCAGAGGATTCAGAGCCGAAATTCGCGTATGGGCTGCTCGAGGAGTTCACAGAAGTGCACGTGCTTGATGCAATCGCAAGCGCAACGATAAAGGATGAGGTCGTTAAGAAGGAGGAGGCTAACACGAAGATAGGCAATCCTTTGGCCAAGATCTTGCCTTACTTCGCCAAAAGAAAAGATCATCGCGATTCGAGGGACAACACCACAAATTATGCGTTACTGCAGAGCTTTCGCAGTAGAAGCGCGCCTCGCGTGTTTCGTGTGTATCCTCTGCCGGACTTCCGGTCCTCCGACCAATTGAATGCACACGACATGATCCTGCAAGGTCCCTGTCACGTTCTGATTCCGAGGAGCTGTGCGCCGAAAAACAGACCGAGCGGAATAATAATGTGTAAATTTATGACATAAAAGAATTTTATTTTGTTAACAATTCGCGAGCGCTAATTTTTTATTGTACACAGAAAAAATAGCTTTGCTGAAGTATATTTGCTTATGTACATATATAAAAATTAGGTCGGTTACAAATCTGAAAATAATTATGTTAGATGTTCAAGTTGATTGCTGAAATGTCCAAATTTTTTATATTATTATTATGATTGAGAGTTTCACATAATTATTTTCATAGTTCAATATAATTGAATTGGTCAACAGCTTGATCAAGTATAAGATATAAAACATAAATAAGAACAAAGTACATCAAATATGATAAACAAAGCCAAGATCAGTCAAATTTTGTTATAATAATATATATATTCTTATATATTCTTTTATTAAATTAATTTATTTTTATTAAGAACAAAGTAATAAGTATACACTCTCTGTAAATAAGTATTAAAATCTGTGACAAGTAGTGATTCATTTCGATACGAGAATCTCGGAATATCGTCTCAGAACTTCTCTGTGTCATTAAAAGTGGCATTTCCGAGATTATTTTATGTTTTTCTCATCTCGTCTCAAAAAAATCGGAGAAATATCAGAATGAGAAATAAACATTACCTGTGAAAGAGTTAAAACCAGATCAGAGACAGTCATTGATTCCGTCGCATCGGCTTAATAAAAAATATACATTTCTGCATCAACAGTAACCAAAGTTAATTAAATTTAAACATTAGGA